ACTTGAGTAATCTTCCTTTTTACTTTCATTTCACGCATGTTTTGGAATGCTCCTGACCAGGTTTGAGGTTTCAGTCTTCAAATTTTGCCGGGGGGCTTTTCTCCCCATATCGCTTTCATGGTTTTGGGTTTGGAGGATCTGTTATCTAGCCTGAAAGCGGCAAAGTCGAAATGTCTATAACATTAGTTTTAACTTATTTTTATTCTTATTATCTCTAAGCGGTAAAATGACCGTGAAAATATCATTCGAAAGCTGGAGATCTTAAACAATATGCTACCAAACACATGAAGGCTTCTCATTGTAGCCATAATTAGTAGAGGAGACTGGTAGAGCTGATCATCATGACTGAGATGAAATAACAGAATGTGCAACACTGATTAAAATTTGAGTTTTCTATGCTTTTTTTTTTCTTTTTTGGTAAACCTCGGGCCTTAATAAGCTTAGTATGAACCCACCCAAATGTCGGGCTCATGGATAGCATCCTTCCTAGCAAACATATCATATCAACGACGTTATCCAGATCATGCTCTGTTTGACAGTGTATGTGCATATACGACCAATAATGAGAGTCACTCTTGTGTCATGCTCTCTAGAGTTAAAAGAGCTAGTGTACCGTTTAAGAATGCTTGCAGTGCTTATGTATTATTTTTGCTCATACGGTTTATTTTTACCACACAATCAAAGAATCAGATCAGAGCAAGATCTCTATTTTACAATGCACCTTGTTTAAAATCGTTGATCAAAGAATGACCTCCCGAGCCTGTGAGTGGTGGTATGCCGACGCACCGGTCGCACTTCCTCCTTTCTCACGAGCGTGTTATACGTTCTACTGCACCGAAACTAAAGCTCATTCGCAGAATTAAATGAGGTACATTTTTTTTGCAGTGAGTTACGATTGTCCTGGATGGGTCAACACAGTTATGTAATACATCTAATTCGCTGTGGCAGTGATACGGTCATCCCTGTCTCGTATTACCTTAGCGACTTGGGTTAGGGTTGGGGTTAGGGTTACAGGGGATGCCCATATCACTAGGGTTTTTGGAATGGCGCCCCAAAACGCGGGTGTGACACCGCCACTTTAAAACGAAAACAAAACTGGGGCGAGTTAACTTTCGCAAAGACTTCTGGTACTCATCCTTAAATTACAGCTCTCTAATTTAATCTTTTTTCCAAGGAGCCATGCATGATGCGGCTCTCTTTGAGTCACAGGGTGGCTAGGAAGAGCTGGGAAAGAAAAAGCGCGCGGCGCGGAGGACGATCGGAAGGGTGAATAATATAAAACTATCCCCCGAAGGGGAGTTGAATAGTAGTGTATATTTATCTCGACGCCTCGCGTCCCGGTATATATATCTAGCGCTGTTAACTAACCCTGACTTTGCATATAGAGTTTATCATGGGTGCAACACAGCTATGCTTACTCTAACTGAACAATTCAAGAAATAATTAGATGATCACAAAGTTATTAGTTTGGTGTCTATGGACCTGTCAAAAGCGTTTGACACCCTTCCCGTAGATCTTATTGTCAAAAAGCTTGAAGATTACGGTGGAGACTCAAAGTTATCAATCTCGTTACGAATTATCTAAGTGACCGACAACAACGCGTAAGATGATAACAACACTCTTCTATGAAAACTATAATGAAGGGTGTCCCCCAGGGATCAATTTTGGGTCCCATTCTCTTTAATATTTTCACGAATGACCTGTCTTATTCTTTTGATGAATGCACTTTATTAAAGTACGCCGATGACACTCAATTGTTTAAGTCTAAAGAATTTATCGACCAGGTTGAACATGCCATTAATGCCCATCTGAAAAATGTTGATGATCAAATGAAAAGAAATCATTCAAAATATTAAGCAATTACTTTTGGAAGGGTCCAGAGAAATCCTGTGTTGACCTGTAAAGGAATCGTTTTCCCTATTCAAGATGAATTGGAACTCCTTGGCGTCACTCTCGATGTAGTAAGCTAAAGTTTGAAGGACAGATTCGTAAAATCTGTCGTAAAGTTAGTCAACAGGTTGCTGTTCTCCATCGTATGAAGAAAATATTACCTTTTGGATCGAGGACAGATGTATATCGTGCTTTCATTGCATTGCATTTTAATTGCTGTTCAGAGTCGTGGCATCACTGTGGTAAAAGAGGTTCCGGCACTTGAAAAAAATCAATGAACGACCCCTTCGCTTTGTGACCCGTGACAAGTCAACCACGTACGAGACGTTGCTTAAGCAACTAAACCTGCTGTCCCCATTTAATCAAAGAATTGTTAAACGGCCACCGGTGTTTACAAAGCTATCCACCGCTATAGAGTCCCTAGAGGAATAAGAGAGCTATTGCATGAACGATCAACTAACGTTCATGAACATCGTTTGCAGGAGCACTCAAAGTGCCGCGCGTATCAAACGCTTTTTAAGATTACACATCGTTATAAAACGTACCACTAAATAAAAAATAGACATAATAAATTCTTTGTTATGTTGAAGCGTAACTCTATTAAAGTTCATTGAAACACCGACCACAGCTCGCACTGCAAATTTGGTGCTTGTTAAAAGTGAGAACCGGCTGGCCGTATACGTGATTTTGGAAATTTTTTGAAAGGTTTCGCTAAAAGCGCACGATTGATCGTCCTAAATATTGAATGAGTGCAATTTGTCTTGAAAAATTGTCAAATACTGCTTTCTGTCCGAGGTTTGTACGATAAATAGTACTGTTTCACCTCAGATGTGATGTATAAAAAGTGTAAAAGGTTGGTTAATACACGCACCCAGATTTGTTGGCAAGATTTTGTAAAGAACTTGTCGAACGCAAAAAATTCTGCCTAATTTGTTTTCCAGGCCTAATCCACTGTGGTCAAGAGCCCTTAAATGTAGGCTCTTGAATGTGATCGAAGATGACTGCTATTTTTTGACTCGATGTAAGATGTTTCAATCTATAATCACTTATAGCCTTTCCCTCAAATTAAGTCACATGAATGTGCCCTTAAGTTAACAGATTTGTGGATTACAAGTTTATTCTTTGATATTAAATTATAAACTTATTAATCACAGCTTCGCTTTTAGCCCTGGCTAAATATATATATTAATCTTAGAGGAAAACACATCCTCGGGGCTGAATTTGATGTCTAAGTTGGATTTCTCAAATTTTATATTTTAATCGCGCAAATACATGTAAATACATTTTGCTTAGCTTTTACAAAATTATGTAATAATCTCCTGATCTACTCTTACTTTTAACAATTTTTAACTGTGTATATATTTTTATATAGGCTTTTAATGAGAAATCTTCTCCTTCTATTATTATTTTTATTAATTTATTTATTTTTCTTGGCATGTCTGTAAAGTAGCCAAGAATATTCCGAGTTACGGGAGCCAATCAAAACGCGCGAAAATTGCTATTCACTGATTTGGTCAATACTAAAAGAAGTTAATCATTTCTCTCTCTCTCTCTCTCTCTCTCTCTCTCTCTCTCTCTCTCTCTCTCTCTCTCTCTCTCTCTCTCTCTCTCTCTCTCTCTCTCTCTCTCTCTCTCTCTCTTCTGATCGTCTCTTGCCTACTTTTTTTGTTTTATATTTTTACTGGAAACCCAGCAGATGATGGCCGTGATGCGAAACGACGTTACACTGAACGGGAGGAATAATGTTTCTTTCCCGCAAAAGGCTTTTAGTCTTTACCGACAAACACTAAGTTTCCAAGGAACTGTTTAGCCTGTTCAGCTATTTTTATAATTTAAGTATTTCTATACCGTCCTTTTTCGCAAAAATGAATAAATGCTAACCTATTTGTAATAGCCTCTGAAATATTATCAGCTGCTGCGTGAAAACAAGTTGTTATTATTCCATAGGGTTCTTAGAATAAAATCAGTTACAGAGCTAAAGATAGCGATAACTACAACTTACTAATTTTCCGTTGAGGGAAATAGCTTCACCTAATTCTGGTTGTGTATAGTGTAATTGGTAAATTGTTTTTTTTAATTGTTGTCGATAATAAAGTTCTCATTTCAAGCCTCTGCGATAAAACTGTACTTTAGGCCCTCTCCGTCACTCCAATGTATTGTGTACCGCTGAAAATGTCTCCTGGGCAAACAGACGGGAAACGGTTTTTTACTTCACGAAATATTTTTTTTTAAGTAGCCGATCACCATTTGATTTCGTCCACATTTCAGATGGAAAACAATGGTTTTACGCTCAATATTTTGGAACAACGGGAAAACTTGACAAAGATTACTGGCTAACAGTAAAAATTCTCAAATGTTGCCATGTTGATGGTCCTTCCTTCCGTCAAAGAGAACTGACAACAGTGTGTTGTGAATTTCACAAACTACATTAATCCAATAAATTTAGGTCAGTCAACACCAAGTCAATATTGATGTAAATTTTGAAGTTGAGGTATGACTGAACACACAAAACAGTTCCTAGGTCGACGATTGACGCTTTTATCGCATCGTAGTTGCTCTTATTTAGAAGGCTTAACTACTTCGAAGCATCCAAAGAAGAAGAAAATTCAAGAGGTAATCTACTTCAATTTTTCGGTTTTCGATGGTAGTCGTGATTAAGTCCACAAAGAAACAGATCGAGGGGCATTTTTACACAAGACTCTGTTAATTAACATTTGCGATATTTAGAAATTATCAGTGACTGTTGCGGGTACGTAAGGTATAACAATTATGCTAGTGATTACATAATAACTATAATTTAATGGTCACTTTTACACTGATATTACTGGTACTGAGTAGTTTTTCTATCTCGACTTTGAATGATTTCTAAGAGCTCTTAGAAAATGGGCTATTAATATTCAACAAACGAGTTTTTTTTTCGGAATAATGCGAGCGACCAAGCGTGGCAAGACGTAACACGCCTCATACAATATGATGCTACACTCGTAGACGGAACTTATTTTAAATTATCACGCTTTCTCATTGTAACTATTCTTTAACTCAATTTACCCTTTCCTTCTACAGTTGAAAATCTAACGAAATGTGACCTGATCACATTTCGGGCCTATAACATGGTGAAGAACGAGTACGAAAAACTCAAGCCCGATGATGATGAGAAGGAGGAAGTCAACCCAGTTTTGAACGCCAACATATTTTCTCGTTTAACAATATGGTGGATGAACAAAATATTCGTCACTGGAAACAAGCGGCCATTAGAGGAAGACGATTTATTTCCACTGTTAGAAGGGGACAAATCCGAGGTATTAACGGAGAAATTACAAAAAGAATGGGAAAAAGAATTGAACAAACGGCATCAGGGAAAAAGACCTCGATTTTGGAAGGCGCTCATGCGCGTCTGCCCTTGGTACGAATATTTCACAATTATCGCGTTGGTACTAACAGACATGGCAAACAGAATGACTTTACCAGTTCTTTTGGGCTTTTTGATCTCTTACTTGATGGGAATTCGGCAGTTAGACGTAAGCTTCAAATACATTTTACCAACATTTATTTGCATTACATCTCTCGGACGAAATCTCGCCCAACATCATTATCAAAACAGATCCGCCTTATTGGGGATGAGATTTAGGGCGGCGGCAACTGGAATATTATACAAGAAGGTAAGTGAAACATTTTATAACTTCAAATTGATAACAAAAATAAAATTTAACAGCATAGTATTCTTCCAGAACTTTTAACAAAATTGTAGCTATATTGAATGATCGTTTCTAGCATACAATATCTAACAACTACTTTATACAGAATACCCACAAGATAAAGACGTTACAAGTCAGTTCTTTTATTTTACTTTCGTTTGTAAAACTAACTTAAGAAACCTACAAAGAAGATCGGTGGATCTAACATGTTGATTAAAAATTATGCAAGAAATAAAAATAAAAGCGCGAATAATAGTTTCTCAGTGCTCCCAGCAAGAGGGTTAAATACCAATATTTTGCATAATTTGTTTAACCAATGATCAGTCCGTGGGCAACAACTTTACCTATTTATGTCATTATTACTAAGGAAATATTTTCCTGTATGCTGACGTTTACAAGACATAGCTAAACTGGCAAGCAACACAATTTTATGGTTCTCGCTCGCCTGATTTTCCGTACTTTAAAGATCCAGATTTTTGTCTATAAGACGAAATTCATGGTGATCATGAATGCGCAACGTTGTTTATAGTGCTTTAAAAAAGTATTCATTCGTGGTCAGAGAAGCGGAAATTTCTTGGGAAACCTGGAGTTAATTCAAACCTATTTTGCCAAGATATAGTATGAAAAGTTTTTGAAGAAGTTTATATTGGTAATTGATTTCTAGTTAGATAAAGAAAATGTTGCTTTTTGAACCACGATCTAATTGACCAGTAGTGAAGCTAGTTAAGAGAAAGCATTGGGCAATAAGATTCAGTTGGACGAACAAAAGAAGCCGATTTCAGCCTTTTAAGGGCGTGTTCTTTAACTTCTCAATTTAGCTTAATAAAGCCCAGTGGGGTTTATCCAAATTTAATTCAGTTTGTAAACAGCGTTTCTTTAACTTCTGGAAAATGACTTTGATCAATGACTTGTGAGGGAAAAAAACCTACAACAATTTGAATTAGGTCAACCAGGGAACAAAGTGCTTGAAAGTACGTCATGTCAGGTACCCGGCTAGTGTCGGAAAGGTGAAAAGATCGAATTTGAAGTCAATTGTTTCCAATCTTACTGAAAGAGAGATAGAAAGCGTCCATATTTCTATCAACGAAAAATATTAATTTGAATGTAAATAACTAAAGTTTTTCCACATTCTAGAAAACGTTTATTTCTAACCAGAGACGCGTGACTGAGTATGGTAAGAGTGAACACAATGCTTAATTATGCGTTTTATGTGCTTTATGAGATTTCATGCGTGTTCGGTATACAATACCCTTTTCAACTCTGGAATATGTTTTTCTTTATCTCTGACCACAGAGGTGGAAAAAACGTAAACATACTCTTCAGACATCTCATGAAGGCCAATTCGATGATGACTCATGCTGCCACTCAGCTTTCATTACATTCCAATATTCTGGTCATGAATGTTATAGTAAATCTACCAGGTGATACTGACAACTAACTAGCCAAATATAAATCCACGCTAAGATAAAGAAAGGAGAAACTTACGATGTACATCTTTCATTTGAGTACTATACATCAAATAAATTAACTTCTTAATTCGCTGTACTGAAATCAGGTTATCATCTCCAACTTGCGGATGACGCTGTGTCTAATTTTTTTTTTTTGCATAGTTAGTACAGGTGACCCAGAATGAAAACTGGCACAAATCAAAAATGAAACAATGGTGTTACGGTGTGAATTTTGGGAGCTATTGACAAGCATAATCGTTTGTTTTTGGTTCACAACCATGAATGAATAAATTTATGGGACGTTTTTTATTTGTCAGCTGGATACAAATGGTAAGAATGCTGTTGAACAGTATCTTCGGTCAAGTCCAGAAAACAGGGGCAGCCAACGACCGTCTCCTCCTAAATTGATTGAAAACATTTTTTTTAGACTATCCTGAGCACTTTTAGATCTCTAGAAATGCATTCTAAGTGGCGCTATAAAATTTGTCCCTGTTCGGTCATCCTAGGGCAACTTGAGTCTTCTAGAAATTGCAAGGGCTTCAGTATTATTTTCCCGAAAATTTTAGATGCAGATTATCGTTTTGAATTTTTCTGATTCCTCTCTCCATCACATTTTTGAATTCAAAGATTTTAGGTTTCCTTTTTCTACGAAAAATAGTCTAATCTGGGGAGTGAAATGTGAAAAATTAAACTTCAGAAAATCGTAGGGAATTAATTAGATAAGCTTCGAAAATTGTATACGGAATGGAACGGTCATCTAGAAATTTTAAGCCGTTCTCAAGCAATAGAAAATTCTAGGCCATGTTTGCTTGGTCTCTCCGAACAGATATTTTACAGAAAACAGTCGTTGGGTGCCCCTGGGAAAAGCAGCAACAAAAACATAACTACTAGAAAGAAAAGAAAAACTTCACAGTTTTTTACAGCGTGGATGACCCAAAATTCGTGTTCCATTCCTTCAAAGCCTTTTTTGTTACCAGTTTCAGGACTTTGCGGCCATTTTTCACAATGGAACCATCGAGTTAGTAGAGGAGACTGATTATCGAAGCCGGCAAACATCAAAATCGGTTGAAAACAACAGTGCTGTAGTTTATTTTGAAAACTCCCTGACCGTGCACAATTCTTTGTTTTTGTTCACAAATTGTGACTGAATAAACTATATTCAATTGGTCAGTAAGTTTATATGGACAGGCGGGTTACCCCACCTAAGCGAGTAACCTCACCTACCTAGGGTCCCTCACCTCCATGTAGACAGACCCTAACAAAGGAGTCTGACAGGTTTCAAAACCATTCCACTTAAATAAATATGATGGAACTGATTTGCGGAAATGGTAAACGCTATTCCGCAGCATGGACATTTACCCCAGAAACCCAAACCGTCACACCAAGCGGGTTTGCTCGTGTAAATAGTAAACAGTTAACAGCCCTTGTTTAAGATGCCTTTCACTTCTGTTTTACTTGTAATGAGGAAAGAGAGACGAATTAATTTCTGATAGAAAAATTTGCAGGGAGGAATCAGTTGTCAGTCCTTAAAAATTTTATTATCTTCTTGCTTTTTAAGAAATCTGTGCATAGTCCATGAAATAGAACCTCGCATAAATTAACATTCTTGATTATATATAGCCTAGCCATGCCAAGATGCACGCACTAACGCGGTAGCCAATTTCAAGAATATGTACGTCTTCGTGGGTATATATATTGTTAAATGCAAATAGTGATTTTGGTCCATCGAGCTGGATGTTCCTAGATTGATTTCCAACAACAAGGAAAGTCTTAAAAGCAGAATACGCAACGCCGAGAGCATTCATAAACTATCAGTCGGAGTTGTTCGGAGTCGACCCGAGTGAATCGAAGTGAAGTACGAAGCACGACTTTTTTTTCTAAATCTTGCTTTATTGGCCGAAAGAAAAAGAAAGAAAGAATGAATAAACGCTGCATGGTTTTCGGCAATAAAATTAAATTAAGTCCGGAAAAAACACTCTGAATAGTCCCGGAATAACCTAACTTTTACCTCAGAGTGGTTTACGTTCGAAGATTTGTTTTTCTTTGACTTTGACCTTTGATTGGGTTCGGAGGATTGAACCACGGTCACTTTAGAGCACGTTTTGATTGCGTTTCTTAGAAGGAGACATGTAATAAAATAAAACAATAAAAAAACAATAGCATCATCTGCCAGAATTAAAATGTAGAGAGTTTATCACTTCACTCGATTTTTGCTAGGCGAACGACTGAGGTTTGTAAGGAAAAAGCTCCCCTACGTTTTGGGCGTTCGAATTGCACCACGTGCTATTTCAGAATGTTTTGGTATACTTCCTCCGCCTCGGAGTTATACTTTTTACTTCTGCATCCTTAAACGCGCGCAATAGGGGAAAAAATGAGATGAAATCGAGGGCCAACGTAAATATACTTCAATTTGATATTTCAACCCAATTCTCCCACGAAATATTACGCGAACGAACGTATTGTCAGCAATATAGGGTACTTTTACTTGAAATCATAATAAAACGTCAAGTTTTTCCTGAGGACTTTGCAATGTCCTTTTTAAAGTGAGTATTTCGCGCAAGACCATGACGTACCATTCGCGATCAGTAAAAAACGCTTGTTGTAAATACTATTAGAAGACCTTATGAAGTGTGTGTGTATGTGAAGTCGATAGGATGCTCTTGAAAATAAATGTACTTCGTAAGAAGCTTCTTATTAGCCAAAATATGTAACAAAACGGTTCGAGAACAAATATTTCCAAAGGTTATTTCGGGTTATGAAGCTATTTTAGTAAAGACTCTTAAAAAGCTGACGACTTAACTTGTTTTAATAAAAAAGAAAACAATATCCGTCGTACTATAGAAACTCCTCCTCTAAATAGATTTTTTCGTTAAGTTCTAGCAGTGAGCTCAACCATTTTAGGAAGTTTAACAAGCTATTTTTTTTTATTTATGTCATTCAAATTAAGCATTTCAGTGACAACCCTAATTACCATTTCCCTAGTTAATGTTTGCCAAAGCTGGAGCAAGTACGATTTTATCAAATTATGTTCACTTGGTTTTCTTTTACTTGTGAGCTTTTGTTGCTACTGTGATTTGTTACTTACCAGCCTGTATATAAGCCTAGTTTATAATTTTCCTTTATTTCCTTTTTTATTTCGTTTTACCAGTAAGTAATATTCATTTCTGTATTCTTAAATGCCATAAACCTTAACTTTCTGGAAAAGAAAACGAGAGCCTCGTAAAGGCGCCACATTTCTAAGAGTTAAATATTAATAAACCTATATTTTTTGTAACTTTAAAGCAAACTGAAGGTTTGCTACGACGTATAATTGACCTGTTGAAAGTCCGTCCTAATATAAATAATTATTTGAACGAACGTATTGTGAGCAATATATAGGAAAATTTAACTTGTATTCATAATAAAACGTCAAGTTTGTCCTGAGCACTTTAGAATGACTTTCTTTTTTGATATATTGCGCGCGCTATGACCTACTATTTCGCGGTCAGCCAAATCTAAGTAGAGACTGCCAAGTAGATGATAAAAAAGATCTTCAGCGAAAGTTGTGTCTATGTAAATTGTAGGAAAGGACGTATGTTGTTGCAAAAAGTTCTACTTCACAAGAAGTTTCTTATGTGCGAAAATAACAAAACAGAACAACAAATATTGCCGAAAGTTATTTTTGGTTATATACCTATTTTTGTGAATACTCTTAAAATAATTGACGACTTCAAACTTATTTTAAAGAAAGAGGACTTTATACTTTTTACGTATAAAGAGCACGTTTTCGATCAAAATTTTTTGCTTTTTTCATTATGCTATGACTGCATGCCGATTCGTTCATCTTATTTTAACCTGCATAAACCGATATTGCTTTACTATTGTCATAAATATTGATAAAAGTGCATAATTTTTTCCTTACCATCAATTTAAAGAAATGATATTATATACTTTTACATGATGTTAAAAAGAGTGGTTTGAACCTATATGAACTAAATCACGGAAGTCAGGGAGGAAAAACAATATAAAGAGGAATATCATCTACTACAATTTCAAAATTTAAATAGATCATACAGAAAATTGATTTTTCGCAGTTTTTTCGCGGATACCTCACCTTCACGTGATATTTTTTTACACCCACTCATTTTACTGTTCGTTTCATTGTTGTCCTAGGTGCTTCGAATGAGCCAATCAAAGCTAGCGAAGATAACTTCCGGTTACGTCATCAATTTAGTATCCAATGATATTCAACGTCTCGACCTGGCGACTCAGAACCTCTTTGCATCCTTGCGATCCCCGTTCGACCTCGTGATACTGGGAATTCTTCTCTGGGTTTTGATTGGTTGGCAGGCCGTCACCGGGCTGGCATTTGCTCTCATTCTCATTCCCTACGAGGCGGAGATGACAGGCTGGGTTGCTAAGCTCAGAATGAGGGCGGCAAGGGTAACAGATAAGAGGTTAGGGGTGATGAATGAGATTATTTCAGGAATACGAGCTGTTAAGATGTATGCTTGGGAGTTGCCGTACAGAGATGCAGTACGTGCGATAACGAGGTAAGCTAGAACAATTTTTAAACATCAGATTCATTTATAATTAACCTCTCTCCTGGAATCTTTTTTTCCCACCACACCAGAGATACAGCGAAGCAAATTTGAATCTTTGGTTAATTATTTCAAACCCAGCTTTATGAGCTAGTTCTCAGGGTCTAGGCTTGACTATCAGATACTAAATAAAATAATAAATAACGATATATAGGTAGCACATCCACTAAGTGGTTCTTCGTCTACCTGATTACTGGTCGAATTGAAATTTGGAAATGTTGGTTTTTGAGTAGAGGGGGAACCGGAGTACCCGGAAAAAACCTCTCGGAGCAAGGAAGAGAACCAAGAACAAACTTAACCCACATATGGCGTCGACGCCGGGATTTGAACCAGGGCACTTTGGCGGAAGGCGATTGTTCTCACCACTACGCCACCCTTGCTCCTATCCTTGTCCCCTACTGTTCGGGAAATGCAACCAGTCACTCCTCCCCCGACGAAGGTCGGAAAGAAACAAATTTAAAAAACAATAACCACCTCCTCTTTCTTATACTATGATGGGAGAGGGATTAACTTCTGTGGTCTGGGGTTTGGCAACCCTAATACTGTTCGTAATATAAAATGGAAATAGAACATACGTGCCAAAACGATACTAATTGCTTTAAAAGATACCGACATTACCCTTTTAAATTTCCTCTTGTACTTTCTAGGTCTTATACAGAATACCCTTGTTTTTATATTTACAGGTCTGAAATCTCTATCCTGCGAAAAATATACAATATTCTCTCGACATTCGCCTCCTTGCAGCACACATATGACAGCGTGATCTGTTTGATCGCTTTCATAACTCTCATCTTCACCGGGATTCGCCTGACGCCATTTAACGTGTTTACAATGGTCGGTCTCTTGTCGGAGAACAGGCGTTCTCTTGTTTATGGTCTCACGGACGGAATGCAGCTGATTGCGGACTGTTTTGCGTCGCTTGAGAGAATTGAAGGATTCTTGTTGATCGAGGAGCTCTACGAAAATGGAAAAGAAGATAAGGAAAGAGAAGAAAAACCAGGGAAGGAAGACAGTGAAGAGAGAAAGGAAGAAGCAGAGGAGGAGGAGGAGAGTTCTAAGAAACCATTTCTAAAGGTGAGGTATTTTAACGCAATCTGTCTCTTTACGAATGTATTCAGATATAGATATATATATATACATTCAAAACGCTTTCGCCTTGGCCATAGCATTCAACATTAGTTTTTCAAAACTACGCTCTGAGATCGTAGGTCATAGACTTTGCTTTAACAACCGACCCTTTTGATTTAAGTGTTATGGCATGATTCGAGTCACTTCCCGTTTGCCCCGCCATTTGTATTTGCCTAGACTTTCTCAGTTACTGTCAATATCTAGCATTTTTAGTTAATCCTTTTGGTAGTTTTGTATCCAGTACCTTATTGACCTTTCCTTCCCTTTCCTGTTAACCTTTATTAACTTTTAATTTCCTTTCCTTCTATCCTTGATTACCTGCATGCTATGTAATGCGTAAAGACTTTTGAGAAGGAAAATATTAATCAATACATTAACTTGAAACTTGAACCTTTCAAAACAATATCCAGAAACACGAAAGGCCGTGACAACATGCGCTTCATGTACTTCTTTGCGCTTGACACTGGGTTCCTCGGTTTGGGATTGCTCCTGAATATTTTTTCAATTCCCATTTTGTGATTGGCTGTAGCGATTCGGTATGCCGCACCTTATTTGAACAGTTCGCTCCAAGCAAGATAATCCGAAGCAGATTCGGATTCTTGAGTCCACGCCGTGGATTCCGGATTTTAGGTAATGGATTGCGGATATCTTGTCAGTGGAATTGGGATTCCGGATCCCAATCGCGTTAGCGGGATTTCAGATTCCTAGTGGTGAATTCCCCGGATTTCGCATTCCACATTCCATGGTTTTTTTTCGGATCAATTTAGGTATCTGGGGCCCGCTTCTCGAAAGTTCCGATAATTAATGGGCCCGTAAAGCTGTTGTTGTTTACATGTAACATAAAGGTTTCAATAGTTTTGCATCTAACATGATAAAACTATCAGTTAATGAAACAAAATGGAGTATTTTGCTAGCCAGGACCAGGGCTCTTACTCTTTTTATTTCGATTTGAATATTTGATTTCGGGCCCGAAAAGTTACCGGGACTTTCGAGAAAAGAGCCCCAGGGAACTGCCCACCTACCCCTCCCTTAAGCCAAAATTAACACTTACTTCTCATTTAGGGCAAAACGTTAGCTTAGGGGAGGGGTAGGGGGCAGCTTCCCAGAAATATATATGATCCATTTTTTGTTCTATTTTCCAGGCATCCAACATAACTTGCCATTGGAATGGTAAAAATGAAAGTCCGGTTCTAAATGACGTCAGTATAGAAGCCAAGGAAGGTAAATTAGTTTTGGTGACAGGTCCTGTTGGTGCGGGAAAATCCTCACTTCTTCTCGCGCTTCTCGATGAACTTCCTCCGAGCTCAGGTAATATTGAGCGCAGTGGAAGAATAGTCTACGTTCCTCAGACAGCTTGGGTATATAGCGGCACCCTGAGAGAGAACATTCTCTTCAACCAGAAGTTCGACCAAGAAAAATACGACCGAACGATTGAAGCTTGCGATTTGAAGAAGGACATTGCTATGCTGCCTGAAAGAGATAATACTGTTCTCGGAGAGCGTGGTGCTAGTCTGAGTGGTGGTCAGCGTGCACGCGTCAATCTAGCACGCGCAGTGTATAGCGATGCTGATATCTATTTGCTTGATGACCCGCTAAGTGCTGTCGATGCTAAAGTTGGCAAACACATCTTTGAGAAATGTATTAACGGGTTGCTAAGCAACAAGGTGCGTGTTCTTGTGACGCATCAATTGCAGTACATGAAAAGCGCAGACCACATCGTAATTCTGGACAACGGAATCGTGGTGAAGGAAGGGGAATATGAGGCAATGAAGGAAGCTGGACTGGACTTCGAGACACTGGAGAAAGAATTTGATCAAGGGCAGGAAAAGTATCATGAAATTGAAGGAGGAAAACTGACCGTAACAACTGACCAGGTAAACTAGTCACGATTCGCAGACAACTGAATACATTCGTTGGTTAAGCGCTGTACTCGTAGATATGAGCATATTGGATTTCAAGGAATCATCGCGTATACACAAACTGCTGCTGTGTCTAAACGAATCAGGGGAACCCCTAAATTTATTCTAAAATCTAAGTCTTTATAACATAAGCAACCAATTGGTTATAAAGTTCCAAAAAAATTCACCGCAGGCTCTATTCAAAGGAATGACCTTAAAAGACTTTTGCATTACCATAGTCCTTTTCGCGTTTCAGTTACACCTGATATATAAAATACTTTTTTCACGGTTTCGTTACAATTTTATCTAAATTTGAGGGAAAATATTTTCACGCATTTCAGTCATCAGAAGATCCTGCGCACTTGGTCACTTTATTCTCGAGCCGGGGACTGGAGTCGAATTGTGTCCCGCCATTTCTTGTGCGACTGTTTCTGGAGACTCGCTTGTCAGCAAGCAAGGACAATGGCGACGTGAACGAGAACGGGAAAAAAAAGGTTTAGATTGGCAAAACAACAACTCTGCACGTGCATCACGCTTTTAAAAACATTTTTCTGCCATTACTGCACGACTACGACCTGAAAATACCCAATTTCACGTTTTGTGGAGGACGTGAACAAAGACAACGACTGTCTTTTTCTTTTCCTGAACTTTGCTACAGTATTTTAGAATTCAACTCCAGAAAAAAATGCCAAGATTTGACGAACTGAACGTGACGGAATAAGCGCGATAAAGTTTGAAGTAGCGTGAATTTACTTTGTAAGTGACGTTTTCGTAGCCGTCGCCGTCGTCGTTGCTTAAGCTCCCCATTGGGCAGATTTCTCGGTGTCCCTATTAACAGTCCCAGAAGTCTTTGCGAAAGTTAACTTGACCCAGTCTCTCTCTCGTTTCTAAAGTAGCGAATGGTTTTTAGAATACGTACATTTCTTTAATAACCATACCCTGCAAGCAGAGATTTCTCTGTTGCATGGCTTTTAGGGTTTACGAAGTCGTTCGCGTGGCTTGTCTGTCGCGTAGTTGTTTTTTTTTTTTACGTCTTGCGTTTCTCACGGGGCCTAAACAAACCAACTACACGACACACAAACCACGCGAACGACTTCATAAACCCTAAAGGCCATGCAACAGAGAAACCCCTGCTCGCAGGGTACATTAATCATTTACCACAGGGGCGTTCTAACTCTCGGAGAGGAAGTTGTCTAAAATGTTAGTTAGAAAGAGCCGTTACTTTTGGAAAAGGTTTGATAAGTCGCCCAATGTAAGGTGATCCAATACATCGGATTCTGGATTCCATACTGTGGATTCTGGAATGCAGGTACTGGATTCGCGATTCTTTGCCAATAGAACTTGTATTCCGCAATCCAATTGTTCAGATTTCGTAAGCTGAGTATGAATTCCAAAGCCCAGGATTCCTGATGTATAAGCAAACTTTTCCAAACTCCAGAATCCGAATTACCTCATGCAAAGCCAGTTAAAGGCAGCTACAATGACATTGTTTTCTTTACATCAGTCCCACGACGGTTAGCTAACCCTTTTTCTCTCTTTCAGGAAAATTCCAAGCGCAAGGAACGCCGTGAAAGCGACTGCTCTGAAGGTGCCGCGAAGGGCCTGGTCACTTCTCAGGAGGACCGAATTGTAGGCACCATTTCTGCCCGCCTCTACTGGCGCTACTTCAGATCGGGCCTGCATGGAATATTGTTAATGTTCCTATTACTGCTGTTCCTAATCGCGCAAGGTAGGTGCATGTATGCTTGTATCTCATTAACTCCTTTTTTGAAATTCTCGGAGCCGTGGTAAATCATTTGCTTCTAAGTTTTGACCGCATCATATATTTGTGCGCTGATGGGAGGCCAGTTTAATGAAACCTCAAAGAATAACTATCAATTTTTCTTGGCCAACAAGCATAGTCGCAATGAGAGATTCTTTTATGCAGACAAAATATCTTTTTCCTAATCTTGCGGGAAAAAAGCGGGAGAACTTGAGAGGACAAGATTGGTCGATCTATTGTAGGCCACATGGGTAGGCAATCACACACCACGCGATTTTTTTTTCATCTCTGATGATGATGTTGATATATCGGCGAAAGCTCGGAATTCAAATTTTACAGCACTTGAAGGCCTTACTCGAACAATATTTCACTTTCTAACGTTTATATTTTTGATACTATGGAATGTTCCAAGAAGATAAGAGCTAATTATAACTTGCTCCAATTTACCAACAAAGCATCAAGCCTTGTTGTTATTGTTTAGTAAAAGTGACAACCTAGAATGTGCCGAAGTCGTTGTTGTGAAGAGTTTTTCTCCTGTAGCCAAAACATCTTTTTTTCAATCTCGCGGTAAAAGGCGGGTGACCCTGAGAGGACAAGACTAGTCAATCTAGCGTAGGCCACATTGACAGGCAATCAGAATATGATAACAATAATAATTAGTATTTACCAAATCAGTGAATACCAATTTTGCGCGTTTTGGTTGGCTCCTGTAACTCGGAATATCCTTGGCTGTTGTCTGATTTGAGACCGGAGCCAAGATGGCGTCTCGTTTCGAGACATTTTCGAAAGACGAAATTGAAGTAGTTGTACAAACAAATACCAAGAAATCGACGATCTTTGGCTTGCCATTGTTTACTGGTAGGTAGAAAATTATTTTCATGCTGAATTTGTAACAAAATCGTAAAAATGCACTTGACAAAATCCGAAATGTTTGTAAATTGTAAAAATTGTAAACAAAGTTCCTACCAAGTGACGTTTTTAATTGCAAAAAGTTGCTTTTTTTCATTTTTATCCAGCTGATTTGGTAAATACTTAAACAACTATCCCCCTCAGGGTCGGTTCATAGCGCTAGATATATACCTCGACACTTCGCGTCTCTATATCCACCAATATTCACCTCCACTACGGGAGATATTTATATAATAACAACATTCCATAAACATATGCTTGTAAGCCCCAGCCCTCACCTGTAAGCCTCCCCCAGTTACAAACCCATCTATCTGCAAACAAAAATTCCACAAACTTCCGCCCCCGGGCTGGAGATCTGTACATAATAACCACATTCCATAAACAGGTTCTTGTTAGCCCCACACCTCCCCCGACAGCCTCCCCCACTTACAAACCCCACTATCCACAAACAAAAAAGATACATCCGGTTTTACCAACCCCCCCCCCCGTCCCCCCCCTCCCCCAAATATATGCCATCCCCCTCTGGCTTGCATTGAAATGTAATCGATTTTTTCTCAACGTCGACGTCTTGAATCTTGGATTAGATTTAACGGAGCAACTTAAGAATGTATTCTGATCAGCACTGTTATATACATCTGGCACTAGCTCGTTTTGACATGCTGTTCTTAGTCCGCTTATAAGCTTCCGCTGATACAAGTCCCCTTCCCCTCCCCCCTGTCCCTAAGCCCTCCTGAAACCTTTACAAAGTTGTCTAAGCCAATGGCTTATAAGCGGACGTTTACGGCCGGTACTCATACATGAACTGTGCAGCTCCTTTCTAACTAGAATTTTTCTACAGCATCTATAATTTCTCCCAACCTGTGGCTGGTGCATCTAACGCGAATGAAATGGGTGGAACAGAAGCACAAACTTAACCTCATAATTTACGGCAGTCTGGTGGGAGGGGCTCTCTTTCTTGCTGTTCTCCGAGGTCTCCTCTACTACTGTACCACACTAAGATGCTCGGATAATCTTCACGATCGGATGGTTATTTCCATTCTTCAGTCGCCTGTTTTCTTCTTCGACACCAATCCTTCCGGGAGAATACTTAACAGATTCTCAAAGGATATTGGGATCGTTGACGAGTTTTTACCTCCTACGTCACTACTGGCTATCCAGTATATATTGCAGACTCTAGCGTCTGTATGCGTCACGTGTTCTACCAACTATTGGGCGATCATTGGCGTTATTCCTATGGTGACTGGTTTCTTTGCAATCAACAGGTAACTTAGATCAATCTTCGCCTTGTGCTCGGTACACTTAAGATATTCACTTTGATGAACAAGTGATATTACGGTTTATTCTTTTTATGTTTCAGTTAGTTGCAACATGACCTGACGTATGAAAGGGAAAACTTTAAATACCGATTTCTAACAGTGCTTTGATACTTTAACCGGCTTCTGATTAAAAAATAAATAATTTATCCCAAAACACTGCCGCAGTAGGTCCAAAGAAAGTATAACAATATGAACTGAACAGACAAAGGCATTGTTCTACAGAATGTTCGGCCCGCCCCTACTTAATTGACTACCTTGTAATTTAAAGATGATTATGGAAGTCTAAACTTATACATGTATACGTAAAAGCCTGTAGAAAAGGCGATTTTCCCCCCTTTTTTCAGGCGCCCAGAAGCGCAATGCGAGCGTGGAGCGCGAGACACGTGCTATGGGTTATAGCGCCTAGCCTGCAAGCAAGCTCTCCATTTGGGGGATATCGTGAAAAGTAGACGCGCGAGACTGGGCACGCGAGAGGAGACGCGAAAGCAGGAGCCGGTTTCCCCGCTCACTCGCGCTTTCTCGCGCCCTTTGCTCGCCCAAATAGGAGAGCTTGCTGATAGCGCCTAGTTCCCCTGTCGCGGGTGTCAATATATTTGGTGTTTTGAGTTTTACAATTTTAAAATAGATCACTGTGGATGGAATATGCACTATTTACTTAAATAAAATAGGTGGTCCGTTTTGTAAAGATTGTCGAACTCCTCTCTGTGTAGATATTATCTGAAGACCTCTCGTGAAATCAAGCGAATGGAGGCGATAAGTCAGAGCCCGGTGCTGGCTCACCTGGCCGACACTCTGGAGGGAATCATTATCATCAGAACATACCACATGGAAGAAAAGTTTATAAAAGCTTTTAACGAGTAAGACTTTGTCTTTCTTCTCTCCCCTTTTCTCTATAGTCTGCCGCGGACACAGCCGTTCTTTGGAACGTTGCGTGGCGATACAAAGAACGGCTGTGAAACAAACTCCATTACCTTTAAAAAAGTTAACCTGTGAACACAGACGTATTTCCGGTTCGCCCCATTTAAGGTAATCCGCATTCTGGAATCTGGAAAGTTTTTGTTTGTGGAATCCTGAATTCTGGGTTTCGGAATCCGGAACACGGCTCAAGGAATCTGGAATCCCGCTAACGCGATTGGAATCCGGAATCCCAATTCCACTGACAAAATATCCGAAATCCACAGCGTTGTATTCAGGATCCAAGACTGTCTTGGATTCCTTTTCATAGGGTAATCCGTTTGTCGCTTCAATTCTGATATAACTTATCGAGCGGCAAGAAGCGAGGACCGGAAAAGTTATGTGTCTACGGCCGTGTTCTCAGGCTAATCTTTCTCATGCTCTTAAAGGTCTTTTTTTAATCACGAGCCATATTTTTGACAGAAAGAGACAATGATTAGCGTTTCATTTTGACTTCGAGAGTCTTCTTAATCTTTCTTTATAAATCATATGAAGCCATCGGGCCTAAAAGGGGTCGCAGACGCTTAGAGGAGAGGTCTTTTAAAAGAGGTTCTAATTATAGGGATTTGACTGAGAAAATTTTCAGTGTTTTTGGATAGATGGTCGCTTCTCGGAGGTGGTCGTTTACGAAAAGTGGTCGCACATGGAGGCTCGACTTTACACTCCTAAACGAGGAGATAAGCATCCCCCGCCCCTTGCAAATGGGATTTTCCCTAAGGTTTGACATTTATTGCTGCTAAGTAATACTTTTTTACAGGGTGCAAGACAGGCGAAGTCAGATCTGGTTTCTTGTGCCACACAGCGCGCGATGGATGGGAATTCGCCTTGATTTCGTCTGTACGTTGTTTGTGGCGTGCGCAACTTTCACTGGTGTATTCACCACAACTGATGCAGGTACAGTGTTTGCATGTCATTTTAATTAAAAACAACAACAAAAACAAGTCGTTGTTATTTTTTATTAAAAAAATGGAAAAAAACTGTTACCCTCGACCCTCGATAAAAAGATAGACTCGCGCGCAGGGGACTGATCAGAAGGTTTCCCTTTGTTTATCTGAGTAGAATACTTTATAATAGGAAAGAAACGCTACTTGAAATCGAAGACGAACTTAACGAACTCACTCATCGACACTATGAAATCTTGATACTCAAGAAAACATTCCTGTCTGTATGGCGCTCCTAAAATATATGACAGTTCATTAGTTCCTGTTCCTAGTCAACAAAAGCGATTTTTTTTCTTGAAATTGCTTTAATTTCCTTCAATCAGAAATTTTGCTGCCTCTATCTCGTAAATTTCCTTTATTGGAAGGTATTTTTACCTTAAATTTACGTTTATTGACGTAGCATTTTTCAACATAAGCGCATGAACCTATTACCATAGGCTGGTGATAAGCGTTAATTTCCTGTGATAAGAATAATGTACATTGACTTCTTTCCTTAGGAACATTGGGCCTTTCCCTTGTGTACGCCATCAGTACTGTTGGTCAGCTGCAGTTTGCCATGCGCCAGACGGCCGATGTTGAAAACATGATGACCGCGGTGGAGCGGGTCATAACCTACACTGAGCTCCCTAAGGAGCCAGCGTATGATATCACCAACACGCCCCCTGCAGAATGGCCCCAAGAGGGGGGACTACGATTTGAGAACCTTTCGCTCAAATACTACGAAGGGGGCCCCCAAGTTCTTAAGAACATTTCCATTAACATCAACCCTCGTGAGAAGGTTGGAGTAGCCGGAAGAACAGGAGCTGGAAAGTCTTCTTTGGTATCCGCCTTGTTTCGGATGCCAGAACCAGGTGGAAAGATTTACATTGACGACTTGGCGCTTGGCGAACTCAACGTTCAAAGCACCAGACCGGTTATTTCAGTTATCACTCAAAACCCCACCCTGTTCAGCGGCCCTCTAAGGATCAATTTAGATCCGTTCTCTCGCTTCAGCGACACAGAAATCTGGAGCGTGTTAGAACAAGTTCAAATGAAATCCAAAATCCAGGAATTACCTGGGGAGCTTTATTATGAACTTTCCGAGTCCGGAAACAACTTTGGTGTCGGAGAACGACAGTTACTATGTTTAGCAAGATCTTTGTTAAACAAAAACAAGATCATTGTCATGGATGAAGCCACGGCAAACGTGGATTTTAGCACTGATAGAAGAATCCAAGAAACTATTCGTAGCAAGTTTCAAGACTGTACTGTTATTACGATAGCGCATCGTCTGAACACTATCATAGATTACGATAAAGTATTGGTTATGGATAAAGGAACGGTTGTTGAATTTGATAAACCAAACGTTCTTCTACAAGACAAACACGGGGTACTTACAGAATTATTTCGAAATCAACAAGTAGCATTATCTTAGAATCTTCTAATACAGCAAATTTAATAATTGAATGAATTAAACAATTATTAATTAACCTGCAAAATTCACTGAGACATACGAACTCTGTAATAAAACTTTGACACGGGCGAGAATTCTTTTCAAATTAATACCGTAGACGTTTAACCAAATACAATAGACCTCTTTACATTGTATGTTTTGTTTTGCAATGAAGGTCTCGAGGAAATTTGCCCCTTTGTGACATGCACGATGGAGGGCGATCCAAAATGGAATCATAAAAAAGAATAACTCTAATTGAGAGTTTAAATTGAAATTGCTTAATAACATCTAAATTTGATGTATATGAAATTATTTTTCAAAGTTATTTTAACTAACATAAATCAAAGCTAAATAATGATTGTATTTTATTGAATTCGTATCACTAATAGGCAATAAAATTCTGTTTCCACTGATTCAAAACAAGCTTATTCCTAAATAACAAATGAATGTAGTCTCTAGAAACGAGTCTAATACGAAAACATCTCAAATATAATCCTCACCTTTTCAAACGTGGCCTGTTGCGGGGAGCAAATTTAATTAAAGAGACATGTAGCGGGGTTTTGTTTGTACAGTTTAAGATATATTTTGAGATCATGTTGCAGCTCAAAAGTCGTCAGGTTGCTTGGTTTTAGTGTCCTTAGCGGTTGTCGGTGTCTCTTTGTTGGAGCGTTTGGCTTTTATTTTACTCTACGTAGCTTTACTATTGTTTTTCGGTTTTCCATACAGTAAAAACCCGGGAGTAAGAACCTGCAGTTTCCCAAGTTAGTCTTAACAGGTTCTCACATAAATAGAGGATATTACAGGGCGGCGCGGAGATATGAATTTTATTTTTGAGAGGCAAAACATTATATTTTACGAACGAGTGCAGCGAGTGAGTAAAATATTGTTTTTGCCACGAGAAAATAAAATTCATATCTTCATGCCGCCGTGTAATGTTCTTTTTATTATATAGACAAAATGACATCGATAAAATAATAGAGGGAAATTACCAAAATTACGTCATCGATAAACTCACGTGTGAGATTATGGAAAATAAACCACTCGGGTCCCGGATGTAGTTTTTATCAATTTTACGAGTGGTATATTTTCCAGTAAAACACTCGCGTCTATATAATAAATGGTAATAATTCGCGGTTTTTCACTGTATTTTCTTCTGTTTCGGCTTTTGCACACACAAATATATTTGTCTAAATTTGAAAAGTTTACGACAGCATTCCTTCACGATGATCGTTTAAATTGATCCCTTTGACTGCAATACAAGAGCCTGTTTGTCTGCGTATACCAATTCAGTAACAAGGAACAGACTCTACGTTAGTTATTGCGCGCATGCGTTCGTCAAATATGCAGAAAACCCTCAGGAAGCTTTCATTAATCCCGATCATGACCCGGGAAGAGGTGGGAGTCCAAATGCGTTGAGAAGTCTGCACAATATTTCTTGCTTCCCCCTCTGCGCCCCCTGATGAACAAATATTGGCCACCCCAGAAAATACCATAACATACCACAATGCTCTTTGTTTGTCACCCCAAAATTTTGCATAAGCATTGTTTTCAGTTTCACTTGGAGCCATTTTAACTCCCAAGAGAAACTGAAGACAATACTTATGTAAAATTTTGGGGGGACAAAACAAAGAGCATTATGGTATTTCTGGAGTGGTTAATTCTGCACAATTCCGCCCCTTCTTTGATTATTGCTGCAGGGAGAGGGGGGCGGGGGGGTCTGTACACAGGCTAACCAGTAGTAGCACTCACATTTTATCCAAACTACAGGGGTCCTCAGAAATGAATAATTAAAGGCTATATTTAGCCATATTGAAATTGTTTCCTGTCGTCTGTTGCAAAGGATAGCAAGGATGGACATGGATTGAAACTTGAAAAAACTGGGCCAACTTTTTCAAGTTTTAATGCCATGCCTGCAAAAATGACCAAAAATTATTTTGGCCAGTGCTTCCTGATACATTTTTCGGTTTGATATTTCCTTCATAACTTTACAGGAGCATTTTGTGTATGGGTAAAGGCATTAAGTAATGACTTCAGCATAGAGTTGACATAAAACAAGAATATCCTCGTGACATTCGCCACTTCGAGGTTGCGCGAGAGACCGGGTCCAGATGGTTGTCGAAGTTTATTCTGAGGCTTGTTTAGGTGACGCATTTTCAACATGGCGGCAAATTTGTCCGCCAAAACAGTCCCATAATGCACTTTGACAACCACCTCGACCCGATCCCTCGCGCAACCTCAAGTGGGAAATACCTTCTTTAAACACTAAGATCAACCCCTTTGGCGTACCACCTCTGCGTAGTTCTGTGGAATTCGGAAAACAACGAGAATCACGCCAATTCTTAAAGCTGACTATATTCACTGTTTTGTTCTGGCTATTCGCAATGTTCTCGTACAGGCGATGAAAAGAAGTGAAATACTTACACAAGGAATGGCTGAATAAGTGATAAATAAACAATACATAAAGACCACAATTGCATATATTATAGATTTTATTCTGAGAAAAAAGAAATTTACATCTAATATTTATTCTTTTTTTGGTTAACGAGACATTGACGCTGAATATTAAACGATGCACTTGCTCTAGCGACCATTACTAACTACAGTGTAATACCAAGGTCCATTTCTGACCTACTCAGTTTTATAGACATATCTACAACTTTCCTACAACTGGTATAAAAGTTTTATAATAAGAACTTCCACGTTTATTTTATTCTTCCCCAAGTTTCGATAAAGACCAGTTAGAGAATATCTATTGACACTGGTTAAAACAAGGCCTTGAAGAGAGGACACTTGAATTTTAAAGGTGATACTTTAAAGACTAGCGAAGGTATTGCTCCACAAAAACGCGACATTTTACGGTCGTTTGTATGGTGAGGGGCACTAACGTGCCCTCCCCCCCCCCCCCCCCCACCCACACC